CCTCCTAGCCCATTTTACCTCACCAAGTGCACCTTTCCCAGTTCACCTTGCCCATGGTACCTCACCAAGTGCTCTCACCCATTTCACCTTTCCCAGTTCACCTTGCCCATTTTCCTTCATCCGATTTCTCCTCACCATTTGTGGCGATGGGGGAAGCCTTTCAGTGGTTAAAGCGTTCATTCGCTACGCAAAGACACCTTGTTCTATTCATTCTATTCAATGTGTGTGGTACATTGTATGAATCCCATTCCCAGGACCCTGTCATCCTCATAATGTACTGGAATATAGCTAAAAGCGGCGTATAACCTGCATTCACTCACTCATCATCCATTTCACCGTCATCTACCCCATTTCACCACCACCTCCAGTCTCCTCACCCATATCACCATACCTTAATCACCACACCCATTTCACCTTTTACTAACTTCTTAAGTTCAGCCAATTCCCCTCACTGACAGCGTTTTGACCCGATATCTACCCCGGTTATATAAGTGTCTCAGATTTCTCAATATGCTGAGTCGGGGCTGGTAGTCTGATCGACCTGCTTTCAACACAGCACGTGCCAAACTCTCAACACTCTCCGTTGTTACTGAACACGTACACCAAGTCACGTGTACAACCCCACAATAGGTTACACAAGTAGGCGAATATTGTTCAGATGAAAGTTTATACAATGTCAACACTCAGTGTCCTCGTCGTAAAGATATTAACGCAAACAATGTATATGGCAGAATGGCAGTAAGATACTATGATTGAATCGAAGGTACGTTTCATAAGGATTGGGACGGGGTGGGGGTGGGTGGTGGCAGGGTTAGCCTAGTGGTTAAAGCGTTTGCTTGTCACGCCAAAGACCTGGGTTCGATTCCTGACATGGGTACAACGTGTGAAGCCCATTTCTGGTGTATCCTGCTATGATATTGTTGGAATGAGCGGCGTAAAACTAAACTCACCCACTGACTTTGGTATGTATGGGCACTCGATATGCTTTGCCGACTGCGCCCTCTGCATCACACCAGGCTGAGTAACATGCCCCTTATGGCCCTGGCTCAAGTCATGACCTTTCTTCTGTTACCACTATATTCATGCTCGTGGATGTCAGGCTGCTTAATGCTCTCATCCTGATGTACAATGTCCAAATAAATCATTCACACCCAGACATTTGGACGGTGTTCTCGCAATATAAGTGTCATGTATTAACATTTTTTGCCTCCCCCACATCACCTTTTTAGTTCACGTCGCCCATTTTACCTGAACATTTCATCTTTCCATTTCAGCCCTTGCCCCTTTTACCTCACAATTTCACCTTTCAAGTTCACCTCGCCCAGTTTACCTCACAATTTCACCTTTCAAGTTCACCTCCGCCCATTTTACCCTCACAATTTCTCCTTTCAAGTTCCCTCCTAGCCCATTTTACCTCACAATTTCACCTTTCCAGTTCACCTCTAGCCCATTTTACCTCACACACTTCACCTTTCAAGTTCACCTCTCGCCCGTTTTACCTCACACATTTCACCTTTCCAGTTCACCTCTCGCCCATTTTACCTCACAATTTCACCTTTCCAGTTCACCTCACCCATTAAGCTTCATCCATTTGTATGCTGGAGGTAGCCCAGGGGTTCGCTCTGTTACGCTGAACACGCGGGTTCTGATCCCCACTTCTGATACAATGTGTGAAACCCATGTACAAACCTATCCACTCAGTCCTGATCTATTTTACTTCCCATTTGTTTCATTTTCTACCATTCACCTAAAACAATCACAACCAGGTCACCTTTCCCATGACTTCTTATCCATTTCACCTCTCGCCCGGTTCAACCTCACTTTTCCCGGCCCAGTTCAACTCACATTTATGCACTTTTCCCAGATCACCTCACCCATTTCACCTCACCCAGATCACCACACCATTTCACCTCACCACTTCTAGCTCCTTACCCAGATCACCTCACCCATTTCACCTCACCTCACCCATTTCACCCATTTCACCTAACCCAGATTACCACACCCATTTCACCATACCAGATCACTCACCCATTTCACCATACCCAGATTTTCACCATACCCAGATCACCTTTCCCATTTCCCAGATGGTTCCATTTCACTCACCCATTTCCCTCACCCATTCACCTCACCCATTTACCACAGACCTCACACCTCATTTCACCATTTCACCCAGATCACCTCACCCATTTCACCATACCTAGATCACTCACCCATTTCACCATACCCAGATCACCTCACCCATTTCACCATACCTAGATCACCTCACCCAGATCACCCATTTCACCATACCCAGATCACCTTCACCCATTTCACCATCTACCCATTTCACCATACCTCACCTCATTTCAACTTTACCCAGATTTCCCCACCTTACCTAGATCACCTCACCCATTTCACCATACCCAGATCACCTCACCCATTTCACCTCCCAGATTTCACCCATTTCAAGTTCCCAGATCCTACCCATTTCACCATACCCATTTTCACCATACCCAGATCACCTACACCCATTTCACCTCACCCAGATCTCTTACCCATTTCACCTCACCCATTTCACCATACCAGATCACCTCACCCATTTCACCATACCTAGATCACTTACACCCATTTCACCATACCCAGATCACCTCACCCATTTCACCACCTTACCCAGATCACCACACCCATTTCACCTCACCCAGATTTCACCTTACCCAGATCACCATACCCAGATTTCACCATACCCAGATTCACCACACCCATTTCACCATACCCATTTCACCACCATACCCAGATCACCACACCCATTTCACCATACCCAGATCACCACACCCATTTCACCATACCCAGATCACCTCACCCATTTCACCATACCCAGATCACCTCACCCATTTCACCATACCCAGATCACCTCACCCATTTCACCATACCCAGATCACACCCATTTCACCATACCCAGATCCCTCACCCATTTCACCATACCCAGATCACCTCACCCATTTCACCATACCCAGATCACCTCACCCATTTCACCATACCCATTTCACCCATTTTACCACCTCATTTCACCATACCCAGATCACCATTTCACCATTAGATCACCTCACCCATTTCACCATTTCACCACCCAGATCACCTCACCCATTTCACCCAGATCACCACACCCATTTCACCTTACCCAGATCACCTCACCCATTTCACCATACCCAGATCACCATACCCATTTCACCACCACACCCATTTCACCACACCCATTTCACACCATACCCCCAGATTCACCCCATTTCACCCATTTCACCTTACCCATTTCACCATACCCAGATCACCACACCCATTTCACCACACCCAGATCACCACACCCATTTCACCATACCCAGATCACCATACCCAGATCACCTCACCCATTTCACCCACCTTCACCATCACCCAGATCACCACACCCATTTCAACTACACCCATTTCACCCAACCCATTCACCATACCCAGATCACCTCACCCATTTCACCATACCCAGATCACCTCACCCATTTCACAATACCCATATCACCATACCCAGATTACCTCACCCATATCACCATACCCAGATTACCTCACCCATTTCAATTGTCAAAAGGGATGTGAATCCGTGACGCCTGTTGTTAGGTTGTAGTACCATGTGTTCCCTTACATCCCAGCAGAAACCGTGGAGACTTGCAGCAGGTGGCCAATGATTTCAAAACCCGTTGTTTTGACATTCAGTTGACGTTTAACAGATGCTAAAACGCTACATTGGCAATGTTGAACAAACATAACGCTCTCTCAAAGAGCACTTAATTTAAAATACAAATACACGATTTAGTAGATTATGGTTACTTGTTTTGAGATTTGCGTGGGATTTTGAGTATTCGATAGCCGATTCCAAATGAACTAGGTACTCAAATAACTGTTGCATTTGATATATTAAACAGCAGTGACACACCTATATCCCAAGGGTTACATTTTGTGCAGTAATGTCTCCACAAGTCGTGAGATAGTTTATGGCAAGTGCAGCACGCCAGGGGTAATATATCAATGTCAGATCGGTGTGTGTATGTTATCTAACCATCTGCAGAGGTGCTCGATGTACCTCGTTGCTTGGGGCAAGGTGCAGTGCAACTGATGAACTACTTGGAGATTATCGGTTTGTTGTGCGTGTTGTCAAACGATCTACATGGGTACTCGATATACGTCGTTGTTTGTGGCAAGGTGCGGGTGCAGTGCAACTGATGAACTAATTGGAGATTGTCAGTTTGTTGTGCGTGTTGTGAAACGATCTACATGGGTACTCGATATACGTCTTTGTTGTTTGTGGCAAGGTGCAGTGCAACTGGCAACAAACTAACTGGAGATTGTCGGTCTGTTGTGCGTGTTGTAAAACGATCTACATGGGTACTCGATATACGTCGTTGTTTGTGGCAAGGTGCAGTGCAACTGATGAACTAATTGGAGATTGTCGGTCTGTTGTGCGTGTTGTAAAACGATCTACATGGGTACTCGATATACGTCGTTGTTTGTGGCAAGGTGCAGTGCAACTGATGAACTAATTGATGATTGTCAGAATGTTGCATGGTTTGAACAGAAAACTAAAGCGGGGATAAATATTTGTTTGTGTCAAGTTCTGTCCCAACCAACCAACATATTTACTCACTGCAGAAAGTATACAGATAAACAATGTCACTTATATTGCATATTGGATTACGCTTCTTAGTAAAGTACATATTCTTGTAATTTGGGCGGGGCGGCTTGTGACCCATCCGGGATTCGAACCCACACTCTCAGAGTCACCTAACCGCCCGCACACAAAGTCAACGATCTAATCCACTCTGGTCCCTGCTTCCACTATCAGACAACAGGTGGTTCTGATCACGTACTACATGCACGCCTCTGAGATGCTATGATTATACTGAGAAAGTGTAATCCCAAACACAACATACAGATGCCTGCCTGATAAAGTGCATCTCAAAACAACATAAAACGTTGGCTTCAATAAAAAACGTCCTCACCTTAAGCTAGAGGCACAAGTAGGTTCATCGGTCTGTTTCACACCACACTGAGTATCTTCAGATGCTTGTGTTGGCTGGATATGCACACATAGGTATATTAAGTTAATACTCAATATAGGGCATTCCTTGTCCACGTGAAGCCCCAAACCTGGATTATAAATACAACTGCCTGTGGCAAGCCTCTACCGACACACTCCCATACAATATCCATGTTTCATTTTACGACAATAAAATACAGCCCTAACTGTGCATGAGTAATTTGTTGACAGCAAGTATCCCATGTGTGCACAACGCACGTCCAGCTGAACACGTTGTGAGTGCCTGTGTTGTTGTGGCTGACTAATATTTCAAACTCAAGGGGGTCTCGCCAGTCCCTCAGCAGCCTGACAACTTTACTGTGTATACAGCGTCTAGCTTATACTGGCGAGTTATACCTCTCATCACGTTTCACTGTGACTGTGAACTGTTTGACGCATTACCGTAGGCCGATCTATCCATCCAAAACTAAGGCATTGCGTATTTGACGTGACCTGGCTGTGGTTTGGGCCAGACAATCCACTGGCTGATATTGCGAGTAACAGCGATACCGTTCCAACTAGTTTAGTTTTACGCCGCACTAAGCAATATTCCAGGTATATGGCGGCGGTCTGTAAATAATCGAGTCTGGACCAGACAATCCAGTAATCCACAGCTTGAGCATCGACGTGCGCAACCGGGACCGATGCCACGTTGCCCAACCAAGTCAGCGAGCCTGACCACCCAAAAGAGAGAGAGAGAGAGAGAGAGAGAGAGAGAGAGAGAGAGAGAGAGAGAGAGAGAGAGAGAGAGAGAGAGAGAGAGAGAGAGAGAGAGAGAGAGAGAGAGAGAGAGAGAGAGAGAGAGAGAGAGAGAGAGAGAGAGAGAGAGAGGTACGCAAAGTGTTGTTTATATTAATAACGATACGGATAGGGACGGTATATGCGGCTGATCTTTAAATATACATTACTCCTGCCAAACACGTTTAAACCTGCCTGCTATTTTCGCGATTGTATCGTAAACAGGTAGTTATGCAATAAAGCTAGCATGAATATTTAACAACATGAATCTATATTTTTTCAAATCATTATACTTGTGATGAATTCATAATGGCATGCACAATCAGGGATACCCGTGTAAACAATTATGTAAATGTCTCCGTTAAAAACAAATGTCGCGGTCCCCTTTGAACATAATATATGTACAACTGGTACTTTTACTGGAGAGATGCGTCAACTTTCATGTATCATCTTGCATAAAACCTAACACGATAACGTCAGTGCCTGTCCATTGTGAGATTGGTTTGCCTAGTAGTTTGGTGGATGAACTTCTGAAGCGACATGACCGTATCCACTCATAAACATGATGATTCTTCAGATAAAGATCCACAAAGGTCCACCTCCAGTCCCTGAGCTACTATGTGATCAAATTCGCTCATGACATCCAGTACCAAAACAAACAGCGTGAAAAATGGACACGAAACTTTCGCAGGGGTCCCTGAGCGCCAAATTAATGTCGATACACGCCCTATGGAATCAGTCCCATCATCTACCGGCACGATACATAATTGACTGGTAAAAATATTTCATCGATGGATAATATGTACAATTCATGTCTTCGTAACATGCAGGTTGCAATCACGATAACCCCATTTCCCCATTAGATACGTTTTGAAACAACTAGTTGTATATATATACACATGTATATATAAGATATATAGTTCCAGACAGGCGCTCGTGTAGGAATGTCTATAAGTCATATCTACAAGCACATCTGACAGTGGACGTTGACATCAGACTGAACTCTAGCACTGTGGCAGGCTACAGATGGATGCATCCATCAAACAAATTGCTCTCGGAGAATTCTGTTGAGCTATAATAATGTGACAGTACACAATCGTTGTAATAATACTCGCATCGTTGGTCACGATTTACACCAATGCCCGATTCACTGCTGTCACTCAATGTCAAAACACATGAGGGCGATTACTATAAGTCGAGCATCTTGATGTTTCATTCAGTATCAACAAACTTGAGCTCTGTATTCAGGACTTCAAATCGTGGATGATCTCCAGCTATTTGATGTTGAACGAGAAGACAGAACTCCTACTCACTGGCTCCAAACATCAGCTTATAAAGTTGAAGACTGCTTCTCCACCACCTTCACTTCGTATTGGCGACACAGGCATTCTACCATCAGAGATGTGCCAGGAAAGTTGGGGTCTCGTTTCCAACATGTCAATGGATGCACACATCACCTCCATCAGTAGAGCCTGCTACAACAACATCCATGATATCAGCAAAGTCCGCCACTAACTTGATACTGACACCTGTAACTTCTGATGCATTGTCTTGTCACTTCAAAACTCGACTACTGTAATTCACAATATGCCAACCTCTCTACTAAATCACTCCAGAAAACTACAAAGAATCCAAAATTCCGCTGCCAGATGTATCCACCACACTCCTCGTCATGACAATATCACCCCAGTACTACAGTCTCTACACTAGCTCCCCATCTCTGCAAGAATTTCCATCAAAATCCTCATTCTGATTCATGACTGCCTCTACAACGATAAGTTTCCCGACTATCTCAAACAACTCGTCTCCGTGTATGTACCTCAGCGAAATCTCCGAGATCCTCCTCTGACTCGCTCGTCACCCAACATAGGCCTCCAAACCAACTGTCTGACCGAGCCTTCACCTTTGCCAGTCCTCAACTGTGGAACTCTCCTCCAAAGGAAATCAAGACCACTTCATCGAAAGAAACTTTTAAATCTCTGCTAAAAACCCATCTGTTCACAGCTGCCTTTCTGTAAAGCCCATATGAACTATTTCCTTCCTCAGCGCCACTGAGCAACTCTACGGTGGATATCAGGCGCTTTATAAATTAATTATGAAATTCTTAATAATTATCTTCAATGATCAGTACACTGACAGTAAGGTACTTCGTTGTAATCGTTCCTCTTTTTCTACCGTTAACGCACCAGTCAATTTAAAAATGTTTTGGCGGATACAGCTTATAGACCTGTTACATTGAAGCGGGCCTGACCGAGTGTGTTGGTTGGTTGGACATTTTGAACCGGTATTTCACAGATTACGATTGTGATGACAGACAAATACAAACCCATCACTTTCAAAACTCAACAATTCATGTTGCACATTTATTTCATGTTGGTATGGTCGCCCAGCTCCCACGTGGTTGCGTGTAGACGTTGTCAACAGTGTTCCGGTAGTTTGTTGAAGTACTTCCTTCTTCCCGCACAGGCTAACTCCCGATGTATGCAGACATGAGAAATTCAGCTTGGTATATTTATGAATTTCAGCAAAACTCATATATTACTATATTTACGCGGGTTTTTTTTGGCTGAATATATTTGGTAGTTTTGTCAACTGGATATATTAAAGAAAAGCAATATTTGGTACTTCTATACACGCACACACACAGAGAGACAATGTGAATTACACCCCCCTCTAAATGTATGTACAAAATAAGTGACCCCCCTGCATGTCATGTACAAAACCAATGACCCCCCGTTCCCTTCCCATAATTTCTAAGCACCACTTCATTTTCACCCGAGTTTCAACTGTCATTCAATAAACTTTCAGGGCAAACAGCACAGGGTGCGCACCCCCCCGGTTTAGTATCACACCACATAAAGGTTCCACAGAAATACGGTCTCGATCCACCTATGGGCATACAACAACACTCATCCTCGAAGATTTTGAAAGCAATCTAATAAGAGTATACCGTGCCATTCCTACTGGATGATGAGCATTATGTTTAAAGAATGACTATCTGTAAATACCAGGTGTTAAGCGAAGAAACAAACGTGTGCTGCCCACCCACAGGGGCGTGTAACGCAGAAAACTGGCATCGAGGAAAACACTGTCAACCCGGTCATGCTCGCTGACTTGGTTGACACATGTCATCGTATCCCAGTTGCCTAGATCGATGCTTGTGATTTGATCACTGGATTGTCTGGTCCAGACCGCCACCATATAGCTGGAATATTTCTGATTGCGGCGTAAAACTAAATTCACTCATCACTATACCCTGTCACTGACGGGGTCTTAACACTTGATCCTTTTATACAGTATTAAGCTAGTCGTGTAGTGTTATGGCCCCGTCAGTGACATTATATACCTTGATGCCATTGTTTTTGCATTCCAAGCCCCTTGCAAGCCTCACATACAAGGGCCAATCAAAGGCACCTTGATCACCTTAGTTACTGAAATGCCAAATGCCAAGGTGCGAAAATGTCTTTGTCTCTCTATCTGCCAGCACTTTACCTTTCTGTTTCATCTTACAGACGTGTATCGACTAACAATTCAGCATTCCAACTAAATTGTTGAAAGACAATGGACTAAATTGTGCGTTTTGTATTTGACGTTTGAAATAGTGTAAATTTTACAACATTATTCGATATTACACTAATGTTCAGGTTCGATATTACACAGATGTTTATGACAGTCTGACTTTATATCTCACGAATCCTTTGTTTTGGAACAGCGCTTCAGGTGTATTATAAAAGCGACGAGTACAAGTGAACTAAGTGGTACATGTATTGTAGGTGTCACGTAACCCTGAAATCCTCCACTCACCGTTACTGAAATACGTCACGAATCCCTCATCGCGAGTTCAAGAGGTGGAGCAAATCACAAACAACATTAGCCTCTCTTGTTACCGTCAGCGGAGTGGTAGCTCAAAGGACGAGGGTCAGTTGTGGTGTGACAAGTGACATATCATGACCAACTAAGACAGCATATGGTGCCCCAGTTCCACGAATAGACAGGCACATAATCATAATAACATATGTTTAGAGGACATCGTACTGGTCAGGCCCTGTGGAGGGCAACATCTGACAACTCCATATTATCTGTATAGGACTTCTGTCAGGGCAGAGCCTTTGTCCAGCGTTTGAGATATTAGGGCCTCACCCATAATCTTAATTACCCTAAACCACATCCTTACAACAGCTCATGCTGCTGATCACTGGAATGTTTGGTCCAGACTCGATTATTTACAGACCGCCACCATATAACAAACAAACAAATACAAGTTAATTTACCTGTGAGACGAATAACAGGCACGAATTGTGTTGTCTCCTATAGTTAAAATGTTTTAGATTTAATTACTAGTTTTACATGTATATCTGTGATATTCTAGTTGTTTTACTGTCCTTCGTCGGCAGGTTTTATAATATAAATATATTCCATTTCAATGTAAAATGTTCTCGTCGCGATATGGCTGAAATATTGCCGATGTGACGTTAAATATTAACTCACTCACTCACTCATGTGAAACGACACTGACATCTGGACAAAACTGTTCTATACAATATACATGTTCAACAACTAAATCTGTGCTGTCAGGTTGTCTATTGACTTTAGCTTAGAAATATGACACCTCCTCCTGAATATTCTCCTGACGGGACAACGGGCACTAAAAGCTGTC